GACATATACAATTGCATGAACCAGAATGTAGGCATACACCATCCATTTGCATATGCATACACATCTGCAAATCATTATGCAAATACATATACCTGTACAGAAGCACATACCGACAGATCTCCACATACATATACGTATACCTATACCTATACACATACAAGTAGACTTACACACACATACAAGTAGACATCAAGTCCATGTGCAAATCGTATACTTCTACACGAACATATGCATGTTTGCCTCCTAGTTTCCTGTTCTTTGTATTGTGCTCTGGGTTGTGCGGTTTGGCAATAGCCTTCTTTTCCCAGCAAATGCAGGAAGGATGAATGGTCGCTGCTAGTCCCTAAGTACTCCCTCGAACTGATATGCACGATCCTCAGGACCCAACACCACCCTTAAACCCTGAACGACTGAAGCCACAAAACCCTAAACCACAAACTCTAAACCTTAAACACCCCAACCCCTGCGGCCCTGCAGCCTGGACCCTAAACTCCTAAACCCTAACCAACACCCAAAATCCCCCCCAAACCTTCCAACCCCTAAGGATGCCCAGGTTCCATGAGAAGCGTGGCCACTTCTCCGCGTGGGCCATAATCCTCCCATTGCCAGGTTGGGAGTAATTTAGGATTTAGATTTAGGGTTTAGGATTTAGGGTTTAGGGTCTAGGGTTTGCTGTGAGTTAAAGTGCAAGCAGTGATGATTAGGCGTCAACGATCCTTCAAGTGCATGGCTGCATGCGAAGTGCCGACATGGCCTGACTGTGGCCTGGCCATCCAACACAATCACCCACCCGACGCCGTCTGAGGCGGCCAAGCCACATAAACGTACTCCTTTAAGGGTTTAGGACCTAAACTCTGTTAGGTCCATCTTGGTCAACAACACAAATTCATCTTTATCGTATATTGTCGTTTAAGCCACGCGTACAAGGAGCTCTGAAAGGCCTTTGGGATGGGAGGCCACTTGGGAGGCCCCTAAAAGGCCCTGGCAGGTTTGAGAGGCTGCTGGGAGGCCGCCTAAGCCTTGAGTTTAGGATAGGGTCTGGGGCGTGGGTTGGGGGGCCCGAAGGTTTAGGCGTATAGAGGTTAGGGCTGAGCGCTGAGGGTTCCGGGTAGGGATTATCCCAATATAGCCCCAATATATACCGTATTTCACCCATTATAGTAGTTTCCATTTTATTTTCCATGATCCCCAAGATAACCCTAATATTACTCCAATGGCCTAAACCCGAAGCGAGATATCGGGCTTCGGGCTTAGGGTTGACAGCTTAGGGCTACGCAGGAAGTGGGACAAGGGAACGGAAGGGACAGCATGGAAGGCGGTACCGGGGCTGCTGTCGGAATCCATTACTTCATCTGCTGTGTAGCACAAGGTAGAGAAGCAAGGTGTTTACATGGGCTTCAATCTCACATCAAGTTAGCAGGGATGTTCTACGGCTGTGGGCTATTTTCTAAAGAAAGTTCTTCTTGCGTGACAAGCTGTTCGAAAACAACCTTGTACATAAATCCTTACATGCTAATTTTACATGAATCCCTGAGGTCGAATTCCTTGTACCTCAAACCGTCACTCAAACCTTGGCATCCTAAATCCTAAACACACCCTAAGGGTCCAAGGAGCCAAATAATAGGGTTTTAGGGGCCCTAAAGCCCTATTATTAGGGTCCTTGGACCCTTAGGGACATACGTCTCCAACCTCAACACTGGATTTAAACACCAACAAACAGGATTTTCTCCAAATGTCATTCCCATATATACTCCTGAAAAGCAGAAGCCTGTATGACTGCCTTGCATTCCCCGTATCTTCCCGGCCTTTCTGTTAGAGAAGCTCCCAAATTTCAATCCCCCTGCGCCTAGCTCAAAATCTCTAAAACCAAGCGCGTAAACTCTTACCCCCAACCCCCCAACCAAACAAGTTTAAGACCAACGTCCTAAACCAAGAAGCCCTCAACCCTACCCTAGAAAAATTAATCATGGGTCCCCAATATATACCCTATAATCCCTATATAACCCAGTCTAATAGTTTCCATTTCTTTTCCATTACCCCAATATAACTCCCATAAACCCTAAATTCTGCATCTCTCTCAAGGCCACCATCTTCCACGCCCACGGCGGCGGCCACGCCCACGGCAGGCAAGGCGCCGGCAAAGGCTTCGGCCCAAAGCGCACGCCGTGGGCCTGCCATGCCGCGACCTCAGTCGTGACGTCTTCTCAGGGTTTAAAAGACCCAAACCCTAAACCCTAAACCCTAAACCCCCTAAACCCTAAACCCTAAACCCCCTGAACCCCAAGTTAAGGAACAAAGGAATGGAAAACAGCATGGAAGCCGCGGTGCAGGGTGTAGGACTTAGGCGTAGGGAATGGACACTGAAACGGAACAAAAACAAAGGGGAAAAGACATGGAAACGGAGTTTTTTCACTGGCACATATGATGTAGAGAATTTAGGGTTCAGGCTTTACTTGCTGGTTCTTAGTAGGGAATGGACGAATGAACAGAACATGGAAGCAGTTATGTTCTTAGGAATTCCAGAGGTGCTAATATAGGGATCCATTCCTCCTTTCACTACTACCGACGAGCTTTCTGTAAGTTTGAGGGTTTTAGGGAGTAGTTTAGGGTTTGTAGGGTTTGGCGTATTTTTGACCGTCAAAGTTTGCCTCAGGGGTTCTCAGGAAATCCTTCGGCTGTTTCTTCCCTATTTGCGACAACTTGTTGTCTTCAATCTTTGCATCCTCTTTCTCTCTAATTTTGATAGAGTTATAACTATGTTCCCATCAACTCAAATGATGATAGCTGGCTTTGCTGCTGCTGTTCTGTCACTTTCCGTTCTTACTGATACTGTTTTGGTTATGCTCCGGCTAATTTTGGAGCTTGTTTGCCATGAGCTTTAGATACAGAAGTGAGTCTGGTACAGCTGACTAACCCCAAACGCAACGGTATGTGCATATAGTCCCCCTTGGGTAGGTAGAATATGGGGTATATGGGGATCTTGTTATGATATTGGGCAATTACAGATCCTATCTGCTTAAGTGGGACTATGAGATGGCAATTCTTGCTTCTGTGTTTTGACGCTGAGGCCGCAGCAGCCAGAGCCCCAGACATGCGCAGAGGCAATGTAGAAGCCGCCTAGAACTTTGGAATTCAAATAACTGTGATAGAAGATTCCCCCAAACCCTACATGTTAAGGCCGGTTGGCATGAATTGTAGCAAATCATAGCAAGCAGTAGAGCTAGGCAATGTCATAGGAATCTTGATATGAGTGGCAGCAGATATCGCGATTTAGTTGTCAGAGGAGGCAGCTTTCCTTTAGCACAGGCTTTCCTCGCTTGCTGTCAAAGAACTTGCATTAAGTCATTATAATAAGGAACCCCATTTTCATTACATACCCATGTATGGTAGCTTAATTCGAGTTCCTTAAAAGAAGCCCAGTCTCTCTCCCTGTTTGGGCATACCATCCATTGATGCTCAAAGGCCCGATGGTGGCGCGGCAGGCTAGTCCTTTGAGCGGACACACTGGGATTATCTAATGTTATATATACGAATCTCTATATATATATATATATGTGCATATGCACACATGCTATGCGCATGTTTAATGCAGATTCAACCGTTTTATCGGTATCACAACATATATACATTTGTGCTAACCCCTTTGCAGGAAACAAGGCAGTATTGTGTAAAGTGAAGGGCAGAGCCCTTTGCTGAAGTATGCAGTATTGTTAACGGTGGTACTGTAGAGCAAATTAGATCTTGCTTCTGGACATATATAGATATACATATGTATAACAGAGTATTATGCAAGGAGGATATATAGTCTTACTGGTTTCAGCCACGTAACGAAGTCCACTTGACTTCGTTAATTGTAGCCTAGCTGGACCCTCGCCCACACACACAGTAATGGTGACTATAGGGATGGTGGCGAAATTATTCGGATCCTCGTATATTCTAATTATATCACCATACGTGATGGGTCCACCTAAATCGCAGGCTTGTTTTCAGGCCCTCGACTCGGCCTCTAGAAGCATGTCACAACCTGAAAGGGCCCAAGTAGTGACATATGGGGGTATCTTGGATGCCAAAAACCATGGAGAGGCTGTAGCATGTGGTACCTTAAGCCCCAACACTCTGGATGACCCTCCTCGTTCTGAGTTCTGTCCTACCTTTTTCAAGGGTATATGCCGAAGAAGGTAGGACATCCAGGGTCGGCGTAAACTCTAAATCCATGGACCCGCCCTGGAGCCCTGCGCTCTCATGCAAACTTGCTTGCCAGGGCGAGAGCGCACCGAAAGGAGCCAGGACAGCGCACAAACAGGGTGTATAGTCCCCCTTAAGTAGATAGAATATGGCTTTGGGTATATGATAATAAGATCCCCAAAAACCCCATATTCTATCTACTTAAGGGGGACTATAGGGTTCAGGGTTGAGGGTTGAGTGCCGCAAGCCGGTAGGGGGGATTCAGTGCAGGAGCTTCGGCTACAGGATCTCCGGCCATCGCATAGTTTGCCCGCCAGGCTCCCTCTCGAACGTCCAGCGTGGACTCGGGTGTCCATTTCAGGCCCAGCTGTTGTGCCTGTCATGCTCCCCCAAACCTGTAGTCTCCCTAGGAATTGTTTTTTTATAGTATGACCCTACTTAAGGAAATATTCAAAAATACTATTTTTATTATAGGTGTAAGGGGACTACAGAAACAAAACAGAACGCCAAAAGGACTGTCCGCGGTCTTAGATGAAGTTCTATGTTTGGTCTTGGCGATAGTACGTGATAAGGTGATTCTTTGCTGAGCCATTGAGTGTCAGTGATCTTGGCGGAGGCTTTCTCAACTGCTGTATCCCTATATGATCCCTATATATTATAGTAGTTTCCATTTTCTTTTCCATTATCCAAAATATACCCCCCATATAGCCCTAATATTACCCAAATGGTACACACAACTAACCTACATTTCTGTGGTTGATCTGATGGGCTCGAGCCTTTGCCTCCTCCGGGCCGAGGCAGCAGCCCCTTGGAAGATGGCAAATGAAGCAGGCCGAAGCCGTACCCGAACTCCGCCAAGGCGACCTCGCGTGCAGGCTGGCACTCCGCCCAGGGAGCCCCTGCCTCTGGACCCGTGGCAGCGGAGGGCCGCCAAGGTGGCAGAGTCAAAAAACTTGTTTCTGACAGGAGAAGCCGGGTCTGGAAAGTCATACTTCTTGCAGTACCTTCGAGAGAATCTTCGGGACCGCTGCATCGCCCTGGTAGCGCCAACGTGGAAGGCCGCATCGAGGATTGGAGGTACTTCTGTACACTTTTTCGCTGGAGTCAATGTTGGCAAGCTTGAGCACTCAGCTGAGGAGGCTTTGGCATTCATTAAGACTCGGCCAGACCCACTGCAGAAAGAAGTTTTCAAAAGACTTTGCCGCACGCAGGTTCTGATTCTTGATGAGGTTTCGATGCTTTGCCCAGCAGTGCTGGATCACCTTGAGCAGCTTTGCTGCATGGTACGTGAATCCAGCGAGGTGTTTGGCCGAATCCGCTGCATCTTCTCGGGCGACTTCATGCAGATCCCGCCCGTAGCAAGCAAGAAGCTTGCGTTTGAGGCTCACTGCTGGAACAGGTTGTTTTCGAGCGCGACCCAGATGCAGACATTGCAAGGAGTACATCGGCAGAGCAAGGATAATGCTTTTCATGGCTTCCTTAATCGATTGCGGTATGGCTACCTGAAAGAAGAGGACATAGGCATTCTGCTTCGTGCATCAGACCGTGAAGGGGGCCATGAGTGTTTGCAGATCTATGCGAAGAATGAGGACGTGGAGAATGTAAACTCATCGAGGTTGAGGAGACTGGACGGAGACACGGCCACTTTCCTCGCAAAGGATTCCTTTGCTCCGGAGGTATCACCCGAAAGCCAGTGGGAGTTGAAGCATGCTTTGGAGGAACAATGCCCAAGTGAACTGGTGCTCAAAGTCGGTGCGCCTGTCCGCCTGACCCATGTGCGGAATCGTACAGATTTCCATCGAGGCATGGAGGGTACCGTGACCGGTTTCGATGAGGGATGGCCTGAGGTCGAACTCGCAGATGGCGGGGGCAAAATCACAGTCTGTTCCTGCATGGGGGCCTCCATCCAGGCAGAGGCCCGTGGACCGCGGCTTGCAACTCGGAGGCAGGTTCCATTGGCCCTTGCTTGGGCCACCACATTGCACAAGGCGCAGGGAATGACCTTCGACCATGCGGCAGTCCATCTGAGCAAAGTCTTCCAGGCAAACATGGGCTACGTAGCATTGAGCCGAGTCTCCACTCACGAGGGCCTGAAGTTGCTGGACCGCTTGGGCACCATGACGGCCGCGAACTTACGGAACTGGCTCCACCACAAGCTGTGCCAGTTTTGTCCGAAAGCTTTGCAGTTCCACATGGCCATGTTGGATCAAGAGACGCGGCGGAGAATCTGTTGTGGACAAGGAGACTTCCAGCAGCTGCTGCAGAATGATCCTTGCTGGCAGTTAGTAGGATTTGGGGTCGAGGGTTTGGGGGAAACGAAAGAGTGAGTTGGCGGGACTTTGGGGTTTTGTAGGTCCAGTGTAGGGGCTACTACAGGACTTCCTTCCTATACTCTCTACTAAGCACCAGCAAGGATAACGCGTGGAAAGCAGCCCTACTCAGAGCTGGCTTTGTGGAAGGAGGCTGGGCTTCTCAACATGGCGGTCCCGCTATAGCCCCGAGTTTAGGTTTAGGGTTTAGGGTTTATGGCCTAGGGTAGGGACCCTACCATCTCCTTGTGATCCCCATGTATCCCATCCTTATAAACCACCATAACATAATCCCAGTTTCCATTTCATTCTCCATGTTCTTTTCATCTGATTTCCATTATTTGGGGATAATACTCCTAAACCTAAACCCTACACTTACTACTTTATGTATTTCCAGGGGTTTCCAGGGTTACTTACTTCGCAGCTCCCAGGGGGTTACACGTACACCGCCTCCTACCCTGACTGGGCCGTGGCAGAGTTCGGTCTCAACTGCCACAAGTGTGGGCGGAGGGGCCATTGGCGAGCTGACTGCATGGAGTGACATGTACAGAAACCGCTGCACTGCGCTGCTTCAAGTTCCTCCACGCGCCATCTTTTAGAGCGTTGGGACCGATTTAAGCCACTTGTAAATCAATGCGCCTCCACAGGAGGCCGTGCAGGAGGTTTGAAGAGGCAGAAAGACTCTTGCGCTGTATGCTAGGCAGTGTTGCCAGTAACATTGCGAATCCCGCAGCAATAGCGCCAAGCTTGAAAAGCCGTAAGTCACAGAACAGCACGAACCACCTTCCGAGAAAAGTGACACCGTCAATCTTGCTGAGCAGCATTCGGTGTACGTCCTTCAGTTGAAACAAAACCGGAGCAAAGCCATAAATCATCTCTTCACAAACACAAAACGCCCAAAACGCCATAGGCCCAACAAACTACTTTCGGCATTGGAAAACAGAAGGAGTTTCGGCAAACGCTCACGTGAGTTGTTGCTTTAGGATCGTTTTTGGCAGGTGTATGTAGGCTTCCTTTGGAAATTCCTGGCCGTAGTAGATGCATGTTACTGGGTGGCTGTGAAGGAGCTTTACTATAGTGGGGAAACCCTTTTATTTACTATACATACCCATTATGGTAACTTAATTTAGGTTTCTTAGCAGCAACCCCGAAGTAGAGAAGATTACGCAGTCCTAGCTTGCACGAAACTGCATTGGATTTGCGTGTGGGAGCCAAGCCATGAGAAGAGAGCCAAACCCTAAATTCAGCCCTAAGCCCCAAACATCCCTAACTTCCCCTCAACCCTAAACCCCTAGTATAAGAATAGTTGAAAAAGCCCTAAACCCTAAACTCTTAAACCCTAAACCTTAAAAAAACATCCGGAAGCCAGGACCCCTAGCCGAGACTCCTTTGACTACCGTGGCTCGCGACAGGGGGAGCCTGCGGCTCAAAATGCAAAGAACCAGATCAACAGGGTTTAGGGTTTACCAGATGAGCCACAGTCTAAACTCCTTAAAGGGGGATTATTATACAAAGGATTTTATAAGGGTTGGATATATAGGGTTTAGGGATGTGGGGATTTAGGGTTCAGGGTCTGAATTTATTTAAAGGGAGGTATATAGCGGATCATATAGGGGAGTATTACAAGGATTATTTCGGGGGATACTAGGAGTTTAGACTGTAGCTCAAATCTTTTTCCCGATGCATTCTGAGGTTCCCAGCCCATTGGGCCCCTGTATCAGGTATGGGGTTTATGGGGCTTAGGATTTATGTAGGGTCTCCCCTTCCAGTTATAATCGCCCCCTAGCCAAAACATGTTTACAGGACAGTTACTGTGAGGGGGCATGATTCATTCTACGGTCTCAACTGTGGGCCGCTATATATGAGGTATGTATAAGGACACTTGGAGAAGGGCCCAACCCTAAAGCCAAAACCCTAGCAAGGCGCCCAGAGTTCAAACCTTACCCCAATGTAGATCTCTTTTTGGGTAGTATAATTCCCCACCACAAAAACACGACAAATTCAAAAGAACCTACAGAGGAGCCCATGGGTAGATCCATGTTTGCTTTGGGTTGTTTCGGGTTGAGGGTGTAGAGTTTAGGGCGGGTTAAGGGCCTTTCAATCTGTTTGCCCGAGGTCACGCTTCGTCGCGGGACAGAGGCCGCTTGGACGCAGAGCTTTTAGATCTGTCCCGTAGTACAAACGGGGGATTCAATACCTAAGGGGACCCAAATATAGACTCCCAAAGGCTATTAATTAGTATGGGTGCCTCCAAAAAGGGATCCCTAGGTTACGGAAACCATCAGAAATAATTAGGCTATCCTTAGAAAATCAAGTTGCCAAATGCTGTTCCGACATGGTCCCCACGAGTTCCTTACAAAAGTGTGAATCAAGCTGATGAAATGCGGGTTTGAAAGAAATGGGGCTCCGTTCCGGAAGTCCCGATGATAAGGATTAATTATCATCTAGATTCTTGGGTCGTATATTGGGGACCTGTTCATGGATCTCGCCTTTAAAGCCTAAACTCCCGTGGTTTGCAAAGGGAGTGCCCAGGTCCCCGAGCGTGGAGTCGTCGAACAGCCTCCAGAAAGTCCAGACGAACCTGCACCAAAGTTAGCTGCCAAGTATCCTGCAGCTTCTGTGGGTGAGGGGTTTAAGGTCTTGGGTTAAGGGCCCCTTTGCTTTCGACCTGTGGATTTCAGGGTTTTCATAGAGCTTATAGGGTTTTAGGCTTTAAGGCTCATAGGGCTGAAGGAGGCATTACATGCATCTGGGCCGCCATGTTTGCAGATTGTAAGTAATCAATTGAAGAGGGAGTGCTATCCCATGCAACATGTAGAAATTCGGCAATTCTCCTTCCAGAAGCCTAGCACCACCCTTACTTCGCGGCATTTTGGGAACAGTCTAGAGTAGGGAAACTCCCAGATGGGATCTTCACAAAATTGATGTCTACATCACCCCTTGGGGGGGATCCTCCCAACAATCACCTCATCATCAGCGTAAATCCTAAACCCTCCGTTTGCTCCTGAATTCTCTAAGGGGCTCCCTAGATGGAGGAATCCTGGCTTCGCCTTACCTCAAACGGTAAACCTTTAACACCCGAAACCCCAGACACCCTAAAACCTCAATCCCACACACCCCAAACTGGTTTGAATACCTCAAATCTTAAGTCAAACATCCGATGCCCTAAGTACTTTAAAACCTGAGCCCTAAACCCTAAAAGCCCTAACCCTAAACCAACCCTACAGGTCGACAGCACATGCAAGAGGTCGAGCACAACATGCAGGCCAAGCCCCCGCGGATGGATCCGGCCTGGGTTTAGGATAGTAGCCAGTAGAATAAGTTTAAGCTTGTTGGGCTTCCTTTTTTGGACTCTATAATAGAGTTTAAACCTTTTTAGCCTTGGTTATTGGGGAAGAGGGTTTGGGATATTAGGGCTATAAGGGTTTGCCTGAGCCCCCAAAGTATGTAGAACTACGGGCTTTGGCCCAAATTCCCTGCTCAACCTTGCTCAGGCCATGCGAGGGGCTTTCGAGAAGTCCAAAGACCTTCTGAAGAATTCTTTCCAGTCAGAGCCCTGTTGGGTTGAGTTTTAGAGTTTGGGATTTAGGGTTTGGTGTTTAGGGCTTAGGGGCTTAGGGTTTAGGGTTTAGGGGTTAGGGGTTTAGGGGTTTAGGGTTTAGGGTTTAGGGCTTAGGGTTGGGGAGGTAGGGGTTGATTGACTGGGGATATGCGGAGGGGCAAGGAAAGCGTGCTAGACGTAATGCAAGAGCAGAGTAGTGTAATAGTGGTATAGAAGGACTGTAGTGTCGAAAGACGAGGAGTACACAAGAGGAGACAGAACCGCCCTGCAACCAAGTGCTCAGCATGTGAGTAGAGCAGGCTGAAAGATTGGCCGCTACCTCTAAAGTCCGCAGCCCTGGACTCTGAGACAGAACCCCTATCCCTAATTAAGCATTCTAAACCCTAAGCCCTAAAACCCCTAAAATGCCAAACCACCTAAATCCCCTAGAACCTGTAGTCTAAGCCCCTAATCCGTGCTTCCCCTGGCAACGCTGAAGATCTCAGGCCCGGAGCAGACCTCCTCGTCCATGTAGACCAGGCCGAGCCAAGGAGCCCTTAAGCTCGGAATTGGTTTTTCAGACTAGGAGTCTGTACTTCAAAGAGTTTGGGATTTAGGGTGTTGGGTGTAAGGTTTCGAGTTCAGGGTTTGTAGTTTAGAGTTTTGGGGTGTAAGGTTTTGGAGTTGAGTAATTAAGTTAGCTTCCGGGGTGTAAGCCTTGGGGTTCAGGGCTTTAAGGCCTTAGGGCCAAAGAATTAAACCTGAAACCTGGCAGTCCCAAATCCTACCTCCCTCAGCCATTTATTACGAATCCTAAGCTCCCTTAAACCCTGCACGCCTAACCTTTCAATCCTACATCCACATCCCATGACCTAAACCCACCAATCGACCTCAAGCGCATGTGGAACAGGTTGAGCCAACCAGCTTAAAAGAGCTGGCCCACAGGCCTGGGCTTCTAAAGGGATTGTTCTTTGGGTGCAGGGTTTAGGGTTTACGGCTTAGGCTTCAGGGTTTCGGGTTTCAGGGCTTAGGGTTCAGGGTTTAGGGTTCTGGGTTCTGGGTTTTGGGCGCGGGAGTGACTTCAAAGCATCCCCATAAGAGCATGATGCGCTGAAAGGGGCCCCGCGGAACCTCAGACGATTGTCCATCTCAAAGGGCCATATGAGCTAGAGTCTTCTCTCCTTTCAGGGGGCTATATGGGGGATCAGGGTTCAGGGTTTAGGGTTTAGGGGTCTACACTCCTTAAAGGAGGTTATGTAGGGGATGTTATCCCATGAAGGACGATTGTATGTATATTAAAGCCTTATTAACTCCATATTTAGGGGCTATTAGTGTAGGGGGGATAGACCTAACCTATATGAAATCCTAAACCCTAAGCCCTAAGCTTTAGGGAGAGTCCAGGTTTTTGGATTTGGGGTCATAAGGTGTTATCTTTATGCTGTAGGTTCAGACGGCTGGTTAAGGGTTGAGGGTTCTTAGGGTTTAGGGCTATTAGGGCTTTAGAGTTTACTTCAGGTTTAGGGTTACTAGGGTTTAGGGTTAGGGGATAGTCCGTTTTGTCCTAGAAGCAGCCAGTTGAGAAACATCCCAGGAGGTCGTATAAACAGGGCACAAGAGATATCGGGGTCTCCATACAAGTCTTGAGCCCCCAAATAGACCACGATGATCTACTCCAATCCCTGTTATAGGGACTCCCAAAAGGGAGCCCAAACTTTCGGGAACTCCGAACCCCTAAAACACGCGATAATCATCCCTGTTTCCATTTCCTTATCGAGCTTCTTCCCATTCGATGGTTCGGTTTGGAGATTCCTGAGAGAGGGGGCCCCCTTTTTTTCGGAAATCCACCCTTACATGCTGTAGAAGCTGATTACCAATAGTGTGGTCATAGATTCCTTGTATACTGGTAGCACAGGCTACCTCACTTTAAACACATCCAGGTCTAGTCCCCCAGTAAAATCCCCATGTATAGTAGCTTCCATGTTCTTCTCCGTTAGACTTTT